GTTTATGGGGACATCATCGCCGTTTGATAAATAGCATAATGATGTAAGCATAAACAATGAACCGAGCATGCTTACCGTATATTATTGTATATTATTTCCGGTGTTCTATTTTTATAGTCAATTTTTATTTGTTTTCCATAATCCAGTAAATATTTTCACTCTTCCACATGAACTTGTCAGCTGACCAAACGAAGTTGAAAAAAAATTTTCGACGTATATTCAGTTAAAATCAATTGTTATGCAATTAAAAACGATAACAGTTTTCCTTTTTTTTGAACAATTCTTCCTAAAAACGTAAATTTTTAATTTGCAGCTTACGGTGTTTTTCTCTTAAGGAAAAAGATTTCGAAGAGTGAAATTAGATGAGTGAGTAATAAAAAATAATAAAATGAGTATTAAAAATTAGAAATTGCGATCTGAGATCGGAAAATATCATTGTTATCAAAATTTTAAATTTATTGTTCTTTCCAATTTTCATGAACATTTTCTCTTGATTTGCAGCATTTAATGCCATATTATGCATTCTTAAAATATTTTTGTTAAATAATTCGTGTTTAGAGTTTAGGCAATGATACAACAGCAGAAATGGTCACATTTATCATTAACATACCAAATGATAATGATAAATATGTACGCAGTATTGATAGCACCATTGAAAAGCTTTATTTTTTGAATTTGTTTATTTGTATAAATGGAAACATTCATAAGGGCAGTTGAGAAAATAAAAATAGGGAATATGAATGCATTTGTTCATATAATATGAACTTGATCCGTTTAATCAAAATATAGGTCGTGTTGAATCTATTATAAAATTTTCCTGGACTAGGATTCGGTTCTATTTCCGCGTCATTAATGAAGCGAAATTAAAATGAAACTGGCGATGTTGGGAGCTACTTGCATTTCTATCCTCGAATGACATTTCCGCGTCATTAATGAAGCGAAATCAAAATGAAACTGGCGATGTTGGGAGCTACTTGCATTTCTATCCTCGAATGACTCGGCCCAGCTGTAAAAGGCGAAACTATTGAAAAGACCATGAAGAAACACTTCAAAAGAAGAAAAAAACCGGAATTTGTTGAACTCCGCTTCATTAATATTATTATTGTATTATTTATTTATTAATATCATTAATATTTAATTATTATTGTTATTGTTCCATGAATTCAGAAAGGATTTCCTCTCTTTTCAGCGTTCTTTTGTAAGGCTTACTGAAATCAAAAACTGGATGTCAACTTTTTGAAACATTACAGAAATTCATTTTATTCCATATTTGCCTGGTTGTACCTTTTTTACTTTGGTGACAACTTGAGGAAGAAAATTTTAAGTTCGAAAGGAAATAAATGTTCAATAGCGATTTAAAGGTTATGCTAGCTTGAACTTCAAGCTAGAATATTATTTATATTATTGAAAATTGAAGTGAATAATTTCAAAACTATCATTGATATTTTTCAATCAACAGGACGAAATTTTCAATTTTTTATTGCACTATTCACTACGAAATTTCACTATTTACATGTTTTTTATTTTTTTATTCATTTTTATCATTAATTTTTAAAGAAAAACAGTCGATTTGACTTTTTCAATTTAATAGTTTTCTTAAAGAATTGCAGAAATAAATTGCAGAAATTAAATATAAAAAATAAAGCACAATAATTCTTTTCCAAAATTGAGGAAAAATTTACGCTTTCGAGATTAATTTCATTTAAAAAATAGAAAAATCTTTTAATGGATGATCGAAATCGCATTTAAATGCATAGCAATTGAATTTAACGAAAATGCCAAAAATTTTTCAAAAATCATATTTGAGCACCTGGAAATTTAAGGTGGAGGAAGTGATGAATGAGTTTTTGTGAGTGACTTTTTTTTGATTGGAATATGAAAAACAAATAAAAATTAGCTATTAAATGCCGAATATATCGGAAACAAATCATTTGGCTGGTGACAAATGCTCATATCTTTGCTTATCCTTGCAAAGTTGTATACTTTCGCTGACGGAGAAGCTGTCGATTTAAACGTTTGTTTTATGTTTATACCTGGACCTGCGCCGCTGGAAATCCTGTACGAAGACCTACAGTGCCTGTCGAAAATTGCCAAGATCGTGACCCCACAGCTTGTTTCGAAATATTCAAACCAGACGATAATAATCTTGGGCAGGTATTAGCTGATAATCGTATGCCGTAAGTTTCTGGGCTTTTAAATTTGCACTTCGATACGCATATATCATTAAACTTATGAATCCATATGTGATTAACCAGTGCTTTAAATAGAATCACCGAATATCACCGAATCACTGAACAAAATCATTGAACAATTGATTGGATTTAAAATAATTATTGACAAGGAAAATTTGAAATCTATTTATAGCACTATATCATTTTGGAATTTCACAAGTTTTTTTTTGATTTTTGCTTTTTGTGCTTAAAAATTTCTAGCAAATTATTATTTTGAAATTTCCATAACAAATGAGAATTCGACCAATAACAAATAAATGACGCAATTATATGAGAATGGCTAAAAAATAGACGGAAATCCACGTTTTTGTATTGTAAAATGTATTTGTTTATATTGCAGACAATAATAATTGATTTTAGTACAGAAGCAATGGTATTCTTTGATCACTGAGAGGAAGTTTATATTACGTAAAAATGCAAAGACGGCAACAATATATAAAAGAATAAGATAATTTAAATAAAAAATGAGAAAAAATGCGAGAAGGAAAATATAATTTCCCGGAAATTAAGACCTCGCGACTCAAAACATATTAGCGATGCCATCCTATAAACTTACCTATTCTTCTTTTTCTCCAAAACCCATATCCTATTTGTTATGTGAAATTATCATTTGGCAGGGAAATTTTCCTGCCTATGATTATTATGAAAAAGTCCTCCTGTTATGAAAAAGCAAGGATTTGTTCAATATTCACAATATTCCGTTCTGACCAAAAAATTCCTGAAATTTCTGAATGTCACCTTTTCATAATCTTGTTGATTTAGATGAAAATGAGACTCTTCATGTGCTAAAGTCAAATTCGCCTTCCCATAGCTCCATTGCAAATGAAATATGAGATTAATTACAATAAATTTTTGCTATCATCCGTTATTTATCCAAAAAATCCAAGTATCCAAAATCATGGAGCAATGAAATTATCAGTTTCTTAATGATGCAATAATATTTGCTATATTCGTTGATAACGTTGATGATTGATGATTTATGACCCACATTCGTTATCAATTAAATCTTTATGATATTAGCGGTTTGATAAAACCTTTTGCATTCAAAAATCAAAAAAAAAAAATAGCTACTACAGAATTAAAATTTTACTCTAATACAAATGTACCATTGTAAGCTTCGAGTGAATAATATTGATTGACTAATATTGAAAATAATGAAAATAAAAATTTTAAATGAAAATAATTCATTCAAATATAGAAATAGCGATACTCTTCGAAAGATATTTTCCTTTTTCTTATTAAAACAACTGATTTCTCTTTCCCTAAAGGATTGTTGAAAATTGAAATAAAGCACAATAATTAAAATAATGAAAAAATTGAAGAACGGGAAATTTGATCAACGCATAATAAATATCGTTATGAGCAGCTGGTGATTTCAAGCGAAAGAGTGATCAAATATTTTGGTGAATTACGAATAGGACAAATAAATAAAAGTTGGCTATAAAAAACCGAATTCACAGATATGAGAAAATTTTGGCTGATGAGAATGCTCGCATGTTTGCTTGTCCTTGCATCATTATGTAACCTAGCTAATGGAGGTGCTGTGGAGATAGATGTTTGCCATATGTTTGTTCCTGTACCTCCACAAGGTGCAGGCGCACCTGTGCAGCCAGCACTTGTGCGTAAACCTACAGTGCCTGCTGAGAACTGCCAAGATCGTGATGTGTTGGCTTGTCCGGAAATATTCAAATACGACCCTGCAGCGGATATGCAGGTACTCGCGAATAATCTTATGCCGTAAGTTTTCGGCCTCTCTGGGCTTTTTTTTCCAATGTGAACATACCATTATATAATATACCGTTATAATAATGAATCAAAATGTGATTTAAATCAATACCAAAATCATTAATATATCAATAAAATCCGTAACTGAATTTCAAAGATCGGTAGTATTAAATAAAAATTTTTAAGATTTTTTTCGGAATTTTTCTAGATTTAAAACCTTTTTTTTCTGTTTCAAAAAATTATAAAAAATTATTTTATATCGGAATTTCTATGAAAATTAGAAAATTTCAAATTCACTTCCACTTTTCATCCAAAATGAATCATTTCACTCATTCATTCCATGAAATAAATTTCAATAAGAACAAAAATAATATTGCTTTGTTTTCAAAAGCCCCTTGGATTACAGTTATTGAGTTGTTTGTATGAATAGCTTACATATTTTCATACAAAAATCCAACGATTAAACTTTTAAAAGATTTCTTGAAGTTATTTTTGTCTTGTAGGAACATGGATTATAAAGTTCCAATGAATTGTCAGCAGCCTGCATATAGGATGTTGGCTCGACAAATGTGTCCACGAACGTGTGCGACATGTTGCTTAACTAAAGAATATAACTGTGATAATGGTACGAACTAAATTAATCTTACTGGGAATTCACAACTAAATGGCTAAAAGAATAGCTGCTCGGCTTTTCTAAATTATGAGCGTTAATTATATTGTTTCGAAAACCGATTTTACCATAAAATGAATTAATCGAAAATTAAAACGATAAAAAAAGATTGAAAAAATTCGAAAAATTTCAAAAAAAATTGTTTGTTTAAAAACGTATTCAGTCAGTACCATATACACCTTTCGCATTTTTCCATAGAAAATTCAAAGGTATCACGGATAAAATTAGATTGATAAGAGTGTTGGAAAAGGAGGAATGAAAGTTATTTTATAGGAAAATTCTTAAAAATTCATTAAATGATTGCATTTGAAAACAAATATTTATATATTTCAGTTGGTGGTCGAGAAGGCCCATGCAGGAATTTTTCAAGGGCACTATGCACTCAATTCCCAAGCCTTGCTTTGCAACTTTGTCCGCAGTCTTGCGGCCTTTGTCATTTACCTGGTGCTGCGAACATGTGCCCTGATACTATCGATGGTTGTGATATTTTGATGGGATTGGGTATTTGCTTTGACAATAGATTGAAGAATATGTGCCAAAGAACGTGCAGGTCGCGGGACTGTCTAACAAGTAATTTCGGATTGTTTTTTTAAAAACAAATGAATTAGAAGTGCAGAATTCCATTAAGAATGAAAACCTAAACATTTCCATGTATTTCAGCGACGACTTTGTCTCCTCCAGCAGCAGCTTGTCGAGACGAAAGGCAGAACTGTGCCGCAATCAGAGCCACAAATAGCTGCGGCGGTTTATATCAAACAACAATGAGGCAACAGTGCGCAAGAACTTGCGGTTATTGCACGTAATCCGTGCAATTTATCTATCGCTAATAACATGAATTATAGTTCAATTGTTGTTCATAATAATAAAAGAATTCTTT